GTTATTTTTTACATGCTTTCCGTCCAAACCGTTCGTAATTATCAACTTAATCACTTGTTACATCGTTGTTACAAATCGTATAACAACACTCCAACAACTTCGTCTTCTGCCTCTTCACAAGAGGCAACATGTTAAATGTTTTTTCTCAATGTTAACTAAAATATTTATATAAATTCTATTATACAAATTATGACGTAAAATTATTATGATATTACAGAGATTACGCAGACAGATATAGCATTTGCATTTGCATTTGTGTCTCATATACCCTACGGCCTCATTTACTTTAATGGATGGGATTACACATAATAATCCAACCTAACTTTACACGTCAGCATGGTATTAAAAATCTGAAATTTGTCATATGTTTACTATCATGGACCAAATGATAGGATGAGACCTTAAATGCCAAATTTACCCATCACTTCATAAAATTGAAGCCAATTTGGAGAGTTCGGGATTTGCCCATCTCCATCGGCCGGTGATTTTTTTTTTCTCTGAAAAACCAACAGCCCTTTTGTTTTCCGACAAGAATAAACCAATAATTTATATATATGTATATATAAATATAATAGCACTATTTATTATGTTCTTGAATAAGGTTCTGGTCTCTTATGCTACAAGAGGTCGCAGGTGGCAATTGGATAGGGAAATTTTGTTAATTTCGGATCCTGATGAATTTGGGAGAGGTCGAAATCAACTGGAGATTGGATATTGGATTTTTGTTAATTTTGGATCTTGATGGATTTAGGGGTTAGGGTTTTGAGGCTGTGACGATAATTGATTGGGGCTAATGAATCGAGCGGAGAAAAACCCAACCTGTATTCTGGCGGGTAGGTCGGACGGCGTTGCGTCTGACCGCATCGCAACCGGTTACTGCAACCATGGCGGTGTTGTTTTTCTTGGGCATAATTTCTGAAACAGATCTGAGCCTCCATTTTCTTGCAATTAAAGTCATGGACGATTTTTTTTTTATATGGTAAAAATTGTAAATACAAGTACATTAAGGGGTAATTTTGTCTTTTCATAGCCAAATTTAAGGAGAAAATGGTCAATGTCGAGATAGGATTAAAAAATCCGGGGGTCAGGCCGGGATTCATTTATCAGTAAATCATTGATACACGCGTGGGACCCGCATGCCACATGCGTGCCAACTGGAATCGGTCCTATCCAAATCATTGAAAGTAAACGCAAGATAAAGGGTGACAATTTAAGTTATCCAATACTATCCCGCAAAGTAAACGCCCCCTAGGTGTTTATTTAGTTTTTTTTTTCATTAAGGACTCATTATTCCAGGAAAAAGACCTTTCTCTTTTTTCTTTTCGCGGTTGACCGCTTTTATCATTTCGGAAACAAATTAAGGACTCTTTTTTCATATTTTATTATCGGGTTTGTATTATGTCATTTCATTCTTTTTTTTATTAGGACATCATTATATTATTTTTTGGAAAAAAAAAATACATTAAGAGTTTATTTGTTCTAAATTTTATTTTGTTCCTATCATGATATGTTTCAATAAATTAAATAATTATGTTGCTAAACTTAAACGACCAAAAACATTCGTCAACAAGTGCACTTTACTAGTTAATAAAAAAAGTAAAATATTTAGTTGATATTTTTTACATGCTATGTATGCGAAAATAAAACTACTTTGCAACGTAATGGTATGCAAGGTACCAATTATGTACTCTTTTTTTTTTCCAAGTTTTTTTTTTCTAAACGATATTAATCTCATAACAATAAGAAAAACAATTGGAGAATTCACTAGTCCTTACAACAAATGGAGAACCACACCATCAAGGTGACCTAGACCAAACACCAACAAAGTACTAAAGACATAGACGAAGCTATGAGACCTAAGCACCACCAAACTAAACCACACAAAAAAAAAGAAAACAGCACAAAAAGACCCCCAACATAGTAATGACGACCCCCAACGAAGTAATGATAACTGAGGCCAACGGCCCAAACCAAAAACACAAGTCCTGACACAACACAGACACAAACAGAACAAACCGAACAAAACAACAAAACAAACAAAACGAAACAAAATGAACCCTTCCCCGACGAAATGAAAGTAGCCCAACCAGCAGCGAACGATCGACCCAAGAAAAGGTCAAGGACCAGAAGCCGCTACCGAAACTGCAGAAGTCCTATACAGTAGAAACAAACTGAACCCCAAACCAATCCCAGAAATTGACCCATCTTTCACCGAGAGAGCCACAATCAACCCCACACCGGCCCCACCCTAACTCATCTAACACCACTAGACAAGACGGATAGCATCGAACTCCCTGCCTTCTAACAACACTAGCCGAACAGGGAGGATGAGCGAAGATCTAGCCTTTAACCCCAACAACCGCAATAGATACGCCACAGCCATCGGGGTCTCTCCCCACCCGAAGACAAATGCTCCTCCCGGCACTACCGCAGCCTGCCGACAACTAGATGTTGGAGCCCCACCATTAAGGCGGAGCCCCGCCGGAAAAGGCCAAATCCCACCATAGCAGACGAGGACGAGAGAAAGGGACATACCACCTCCTGTCAGAAATTCGCCTGCATCGGAGGAGAGAACTGCAGATACAGGCCAATCGCCATCCGGGAGAGGCGCCACCGCCGCAAAAAGTCCCGTCCGCCACCGTGAAACAGAACCCCAATCCCCACCATCCATGGGGTACCAGAGATTTGCAACTTCGGAGAAGGGAGAGGGCGGTCAAGGATGACCACTAGCCGGGATTACTTCGACGTTGAGGAAGGCAATTGGTCGGATTATGGAGAGATTTTGCGGCAAGGGTTTTTTTCGCAGAAGAGGGTTTTTTCTTACTCGCCTACATGTTTCCAATGTGGGATATGTTAACTTTTTTTTTTCCAAGTCAAACAATAAAATTTATAAACTCAAAATCAAAGTCTTAGGCCTAAAAGCAGCTTGAACATAAAAACACACGAGTTCAAGCAGCCGCAGGAAATAAGATTAATATACCCTTGGAAAGGCTAAAGAAGCATAAACTATACATTCACCCAAATCAAACAGAAAATCACACGAGTCAAAAGAAACACACATAAGCAAAATCCCCAGCAACAGCATGATCAGTCTTCACACTCTCTAAGCTCCTTTTTTGCACCAGCTCACTGCATCCATGTTATCCAGAATACATGTAACATTTTTCCAGCCATGTTTCCTTACATACTTCAGAAACCACAGTACACCAGCAGCATAGGCATCCACTAAACTTCCAAAAAAGTCCCTAAATGCGTCCCATAACTGCATATCCCTCAATTCCCTAAAAGCTCT